AGTTTTTGAAGACGAAACTTGACCACCTAGTCCGGAGGTCAAAGTTTGGAGCTACGTTTCCGGTCAACAAAACACACCGCACCACGTGACGAACGGAAGCTTTATCCACCGCTATCTCGTTTCCACAGAAGAATTCTGATATTTATTTATTTATTATTATTATATTATTATTATTATTATTATTTCTTATGGCAAGCAGCGTTTCGGGTCACGAAATCAACGGAGTGCCTCGAGGATGCGTCCGGGACTCGGGAACCTTCGTCCACCTTCGGCGTAGGCAATTGCGTATATCCAACGCAAACTTCTACCCAACACCGACCGTTCCACCGACCCATCCTTGTCGGCCACAACAACTAAGAAGGATCCATCTCAGCCGTTGCTTCTTTCTTTTATTCTCTGATCTAGATCGTTGGCTGCCTCACTGCAACCCTATAAAGGACGGCTCCCTGCCCTTAAATACGACCTTTGTTTTGGTTGAGGCAATGCGTCGTTACGCGTCTGCGGTGTCCTTTAAGTGGATCCTCAGCCATCCGTAATCGATGATTTCGTTTTCGGATTGGACGATCCGTCGATCGTTGATTTCGTTTTCGGATTGGATGATCTGTTTCCGATAGGTGGTGCATCCAAATCCTCAGCCATCCCTTAATCGTTGATTTCGTTGACGAATGGGATGTTCTGTTCTCGGCACTTGAAACAGATCTACTTTCCATGCGGGGGTGTATCAAAAGCCTTTTGTTCATGTGGCTTTCGTTTTCGGGGACTTGGACATTGGTCTTGAACGAATCGGGTGATCTATTTTCAATCGCTGCGGATCGGAAGCGTTTGATATCTGTTGTTTTTGTTTTCTGAACGAATTGGATGATCTATTTTTTTCCCAAAGGAATATTGAGAGGCTAGGAGTTCCGATTAGTGGAATCCGACTAGTGGATTATTCTTTAACCGCTCTTTTTTTTTATTTTCTTGCGATCTATCAGAGGCCTTCACAATTTTGCCGGATTAAGGCTATTTGCGACAGATTTTATATGTACTTTCGAAGCGGTAGGTGAGGCTGTGGTGTTTGTGTGGGTATTATCCTAATGGAACCCCCGCGGAGTCTGTGATGCAATTTGTGAAGGTTGCTCTGGTATGCGTTGCACGATTAAATATTTTTTTCCATTAGATAGTGTTTTATTTAAGGGGTTTCCTTACTGTAATGAACGCTGCTTATTATCATGGATGCAGGTTTTCCGAAATGATCTGAACAAGGGATGTGTCCTGTTTGTTCTGGTTTAGTTGGCCTTCGTTACGTTCAATTTTTATTTGTTGCATTTATTTCCACCAGTTGGTTATGTTTGTTTGTTTTTATTTTTTGTGTGCAAGGGAAAGCGTCTGGATATGATATTTGAAAGAGAGAGGTGAGTGTTTTTCTACCTTGTTATGATATTTGGTTTGAGATATGCGCTAACCGTATCAGCATCAATGCTGTGTCTTTTGGATACTCTAGTTGGATTTAGACGGGTCTCAGGGAAGAGTTCCATCATCTTCTCATTTATTGAGGTTGCCTGTTAAATTGTTGATTATTTTTCCTGTCCTCCTTCTGTCAGCATTTTATATATATTGAAGTTAAGTCTATCTCTTTATTTTCTGAATGTTCTATTCCTAGTGTTTTTGTGGGCAGTTGCAGAGGCATCATCGTTAGGCATGATTCTATTAAATAGAGATGGTAACTCCTTTGTTGGATTGTTTTTGGTATGAGACCTAGGATTTTACATTTTTGATAAGGCTAGTTTCTGTGGCAGATTCTATATGTATCATCGATGCTGTTGGTGGGGCTATGGTGTTTTTGTAGTTATTATCTGTATGGAGCCACACGTAGCTGCGATGCAGTTTGTAAAGGATGCTCCAATTAAGGATGCTCTGGTTTTTGTTGAATGATTTAAATAGGTTTTCCATTGGATAGTGTTATATTTAAGGGGTTTCATTGTTGTGACATATGTCGCTTATTATGATGGATCCAGGGCTTCCGAAATTATCTGAACAGTGGATGTGTCCGGTTTGTGCTAGTTTAGTCAGCCCTTGTTACTTTCAAACATTAATTGTTGCCCTTACGTGCACAAGTTGGTCATTTGATACGGTTCTCATCAAAGTATGGTTGTTTGTTTTTATTTGTTGTCTGCTAGGGGAAGCTGATGGACATCTAGTTTTGCATGGGCATGGGACATTTTTTTGAAAGTGACATCTAGTATTTGGTTTCGATATGTTCTTACTCTATCATCATTCATGGAAGAGGTTCCTTTCACTTTTCATTGGCTATTTAATTGTTGATTGTCTGTCTACTTATTCCATTGGCTTGCTTCGTACATTTTATAAATTTGCACTTTTGAAGTCAGTCTTTCTCTTTGTTTTCTGAATGTTCTATTTGTAGGGTTTTTGTGTGCAGTTGCAGAAGCATCAGTATCAGCATTAGCCATAAGCCTGGTTATTAGGATTAGGACCTTTCTTGGATAGAATTTTTGGTACGAGACGTATGTTTTGCCTGTTTTAAAAGGATAGTTTAGATTTAGGTGTTTAATTTATGCACGTTTGTGATATTATGTTTTTGTCCAATTGTTAATTGTTGTTGTTGTGATTTTTTAGCTGTTACTTGCTTGGCAAGTCTTTTTGGTCATACTAATGTCTCATTTGTCTCTTCTTGGATTCTGTCAGATTTCTATTTTGCAGCTTAATTATCTTTTTTGTTTTAACCTGCCTCTGGTCATCTGATGTTTGGTTTCAGTTAGCTTGTAGATGTTTTTTTAGTATGACATTTAATCATTTTTTGCTTTGAGTAAATAACTTTGATTGGTCTTTACTTTGATTGGCTCATGTTCTATTGTTTTTTATTCTACTTTATCTCTTATTTGTTGGCATTTTTTAAGTTCTCTGTACAATTTATAGTTTTTTGTTCCATGTAAACTTTTTTGTCCTTGTGTGTTTCTAGTGTAACTTTTGACAGGTGTCTTTTATGTTGCCCTATAATGCTGATGTGGCCTCATATGAGAGATTATTTTACCTTAAACAATTCATCATGTTGTTTGTTTGCAGGATTTAAATAGGGTATATGGAAGGTTATTTTGTTTGCCTATTTGGTTTATTACATCCAGTTGTATTCTTGGCTGCTCTTTCCAGATGAAATTTTGATTTTCTGTCCTGGTTTTCTACAATTAGTTATTTCGTTTGGTAGCAGGATTTTATTTTGGAGTTAATACATTTCTAAATTGGGTTAATTACATCCTTTGGTGTTCTTGGCTGGTTGTATTAGAGGAAGTCAGCTAATTTTGTTGAATAACTTGAATTCTGTAGTCATTGTTTCCATTGGCATCATTGCTGTTCATTTATTGCCAAAATGCAGTCCAACAGTGCAAAGTTGTAACATTTGAAAGGTCAAATTATTTTCACCGACTTTTTGATCCTTTGGCTTATAAAAGTTCTCTGCAGCGTTTCTCTTCCTCTTAATTAACTTCCTTATCTCTTTTGAATCTTGTTTCCTTTATCTTGTGTGGAAGTTAGGACATGGTAATGATTTTACGTACATGTACTTGTGCTATTAAGGTGTCTTTGTTGGTGATCTTGGGTTATGATAATTGTACTTCATTGTTATATCGATTTTTGAATCAATTCAATAGCACAATTGATGGCTTAAAAAACAAGTGGGTTTTTAAGGTGCATTGTTACTTTTTTCTTGTATCAAGTTGGAGGGAGGTACAGGCATGCTGTGTTCTCTTGTTTTTCCTTGAAATTCATTTTATATTGCTGATTTTTATTAGAAGTGGTAAGTTAACTTCTCAGGCTGATGTACTTTTGGCTGCTCATTTTATGTGTTGTTTGTCTACTTGAAGCTTGTTTTGGGAGCTGGGTTTCACGTTAAGAAAGCTGGGTTTCTCTTCATTATGGAGCCTTCACATTATAAACAAAGGAGTCCAATTTTCATCAAGGAATCTTCTTGAGGGGACCCAATTACTAATTGAATATATTTCCTTTATGAAGATTCTGCAACCATAGCTGATACAAACAAGTTTTCAAGATTGTTGTTTTTGGTTTGCATGATGAAGAGAATAGAAGTTCTAACCTATACTCTTGGTAATTTTCATTCGCTTCTTGTCCTGTTGGACGGAGATATCTTCTGGAATGGGCCTAAAAAATTTTATTATTTGCATGTTGTTTTTGATAGTATGTGTAGACAATATACTTAGTTCTAACGTGATCAACATTAGGTCTTTAGGAGTTTATGATATCACAATGTCACGGACTTAGCTAGAATTGCCTAAGTCATGAGGCACCCTTGTAACAATTGTCATTGCCTTAGTTGGAGTTGTCTAAGTCGTGAAGCACCCTTACGTCAACTTCTCAGTCTTAGTTGAGATTTCCTAAGTCATGAGGTGCCATTGCGATACATGCATTCGTAAAGGATTAGTCTAGTTACAACCTTGTGCAGGTCATGAAACACCTGTAAAACAGTAAGTTAATTAGTTTGAAAATGAGCTGCGGACAAGTCTCACGTTTCGCGAAGAGAGAAGCTTTACAAGCAATTCAGCGAGCACCTTGAGTGCAAGAGAGAAAAGAGAGGAAGGAGGGAATAAGGACTTTAGAAGGTTGATCGAACAATTATAAGCTTGCAAACAACTGTTCATCAGGTATCGTGTGCGAAGGTAAGTTCCCATCAAGTTATAATGATTATAGTTGAGATTCTTTATTGTGAGAGATTAAGAATTTTGTTGCCAATTAACCTTCAAAGATAGATAAGCTATGACTTGCAGCTCAACTTTTTCACTTCTATCATTGATGTTCTACCTTTGTTGTAGTGATCTTTTTTTTATTAATTACTAGTCATTGCATGTTGACATGTTGGTGGATATTTTCTTCTGATGGGTTTTGACTTGTCATTTGATGAATCCAGTGATGGGGTTGGATGTCACTTTAGTTCTCCCGGTGTACTTTCTTTTTTCTGGGTAGATAAAAAATTTTGCTTACTCCTATTTTGGTGTATATTTTGGTTTTAATAACCATATAATGTCAAGAACTACTGTTGTTTCCTGTGTTTGATGCATTATGGGTATGGGCTTTGAATGAGTATGCAAGTTTATAATTTCTTTGCTTATATGTGTTGTATTTCAAATGTGTTTGGGAAAAAGAATTGAGCAGCATGTTGATAAGATTTTTGAGGGCGAGGTGCATCTTTTCTCTACTTGAATGACTTCTATGATGAAGCAAAGATGTACGATGCCAGGAACCAATATTGCAAAATGTTTATAAGCTAACTATTGATTTCTTCATTGTATAATAGTCCTTGTTTTCTTCATTGGATTGCAGACATGAAAAGATTGACTTCCTTTTGCAAAGCTAATTACTGTTTGAAAGTTAATTATTAATTTCTTCACTGTAGTTGGAACATCTACATAAAGCCTAGCATAATCAATGTTAATGGAAATTCATGGGGAAGACCCATGATTAAGTAGATTGAAAAGCTTGGAACCGACTTTTAGGTTGATCTGATCCACTAGTCTCCATTGCTGTTGCCCATGATGTTGGCAAGTTTTGATTTTGTAGTATTTTCCTGTATGTACATGTTTATATGATTCAAAGAACTGTGGAAGGTTCGATTAGGACACTGAAAAGGTTGGAAAATGACTTTTGAGTTGATTCGCTTGTGTCTGTTGCTGTTGCCTGTGATGTTTTGCAATTCATTATTGGATTTTGTTTAATTTTCCTGTGCTCACATTGAATGATTTGCTTATGTTTTGTTACAGGTGATGTGAACAATGTAGTTGGAACATCTACGGAAAGCCTAGCATGATTAAACAGAAATTCATGGGAAAGACTTTATTGGCTTTTAACTGGTTTTCCCAGGATTAACATTAGATTGAAAAGCTTGGAACTGACATTTGAATTGATCCGCTAGTACCTGTTGCTGTTGCCCATGATGTTTGCAAGTTTTGGTTGGATTTTGTTCTTTTCCTGTGTGTACATGTTTTTACATGGTTCAAAGAACTCTGGAAGGTTGTGTTTGGTTGAAAGGGGGCGGTGCATTTGGATTGAGATTAGCAAATTGAAAAGATTGGAAAATGACTTTTGATTGAGATTAGGGCATTGAGAAGGTTGGAAAATGATTTTTTAGTTGATTTGCAAGTCTCAGTATCTATTACCGGTGATGTTCTGCAATTTCTGTTTTTGGTTGAAAACATGGTGCAATGGGATGTTGTATCTATTACGCAAATTGGTTGTACCAAAAATTATTGTGAGTACTCAGATTTTGTCATAAGTAATCAGATCAAGGTTTTTGATATGGTTGAATCATGTAGGTGGCAAGTTGCTTGTTTTGAGCTTCCAATGGTGATGGTGGCTGGCGTTGGTAAGCTGGCCAGAGACTTCTTTCAAGTTAGTTCATCCATGAATTGACATTGTATCCATTGATTTAATTCATGATTGTTTGTAAGAAAAATTTTCATGTTCGATGTGTTGGTAATTATACTTCTACTGAGAAGTTTATATAATATTATTTGGTAGCTTACAAGTTTTGTTTTTTGTCTGATTCTGGTAGTGTTTTGTCAGTTATTGGGTAGCATGATGTTGGTTGGGGGTGACTATTTGTGTCTCGGATTTGTATGTCTTAGGTTTTTCTCTTGAACAGGAGTCTTTGACTAGGCATATCTTTGATGAGGCATATCTGCCATGTTCATGTAGTTTTGTTTGCTCAAAACTTGCTTTTTTGTGACTTGCAATTGTATGACCCTTTTTTTGATATTGTTATGCTTCCATGCTTTACATTATGTTTTTTAGTTGGCATCTGTGTGTATTCTTGGATTTTTCAATGACTAAATGACTGTTCATCACCAAATTTTGAGTGTTCGTCATGAGGGGAATTGGTCCTCAGTTTTCTTCGTTGGTGAGGTGTTTATGAATCTTAATTTTGTTTATTAGGAATTTCGGAGCATCTAATTTTGGTTGTGTTTATTTATTCAATTGTGAATTTTTGTATTACATTATTGTTTCATGATTATCTTCTATATTGTTTGTTGATATTTCAAAACTATTCCAGTAGTCTAGTTTTTTTAGTAATTTGCTAGGTTTAGATAGTAAGCTGAGTTGGAAAATGATAAGTGGAAGGTGTTCATAATTGTCTTCAGGTAACAATAAAATATTATTTTGTAAAAAATATAACTATTGGGAAATAAGCATATGATTGTTTGCAAGCATGTTTGGAAACATGTGAAGACAAAATTTGAAGCTTGAAGAATATGAGAAAAGGGTTATATAGCTATCTTGAAATTAAAGAGCATGTGTTTATCATTTTTGATGTCTACACATAAATCAAAGTTGCTTAATGGTTCTTGGGTGGACGGGTACTTATCCCTTGTGAATTTGCTTGGACTGTTTATGAGGATGTTATGATACTTGTGAGACTTTTTACTTGGTGTGGCATCTTTGAGTTATTTTGGAGCTTATTCAGTATGGTGCCAATTCCTGTTCAATTATGTTTGTTTTTTTTAATTATTACATTTTCCATGCTTTTACGACTAATTTACTGTGTTGAATGTATTTCCTGTTCAATCATGTTTGGTATTTTCTTTGACTACATTTTCCAAGTTACTATGATTATTAGATTACATTTTCTTTGACTACATTTTCTTTGTCGATTATGCAATTTGATTATTAGAAATTTGATTTTGTTGTTCATATAGGTTGTAGCATATTTTGCAATTAGTATGAGATTTGCATTGATTATGAATGTCATCGTTTATCAAACAGATGGGTTTGCTGTTTAGAATTTAAAATTAAATACAAAAACAAACAATAATAGAAATAAGACTGGTAAATTGGACATTGCAATAACCACTTTACTATCATTGTTGTTTTCCAAGCTTAGCTAAGAAGACTATAAAGTTGGATATTATGTGATGTTCATTGCTGGATAGGTATTCTCCAGGGAGGTTGATCAACTTCTCCTTTTGTCAACATTTGGTGATTGCATTGGACTTCTACTTTACTGCTTGATTGTTTTATCTAATTCTATTTATGTATTCACATTTTTCTTCTCCTTTTTCCCTAGTTGTCTTTATTTTTTCTGGTGGTTGGTAAATTTTCTATTGTTAATCTTAACATCTATAATGGTATTCAATTGGAAAATATGTTGGGCATATGATAGCTGTTGGCTTGAGAATTATGGGCATTATCTTTTTCCATGTGATAGCTGTTGGCTTTGTAGTTATCTATTGGTTCATGTTGTGAGAAGTCTGCTTCTTGTTTTGCTGTTCTGTTGTGACATTGTAGTTCCATAAGCATTGTTCCATCACCAGGTGCAGTCTGGTTTTGCATATATAAGAGAGATGATTACATCTATCTTGACTCTCTCCAGATAGATTATATAAAGCCTGGTGACTGATACATCTGCTGTGTTATTCTCTACATAATACGCCTGGTCTCTTTATGTATTCATTTGTTGTCTTTCAGATCTTCTGAACATTGATCTCCTCCTTGATTTTTTGTTGTGTGGCATCCAATAGATTTTTTATTTCTGAAATTTTGGGGTGTCTTAGCTTCTGAACCTTAATTTTGTGTTTTTAATGTGATCTATCATGATCATGGGGTCATCAAAATGTCTGTTTTTGTTGGAACTTTCTGTGATATACTGATAATGAAAATGGTACATTCTCTGTTCTAATGAGTTCATTACATCCATTGTTATTTTTCACTTGGCTATTGAAGAGCCTATAGTTTTTATGTCCTGGTTTTGGTGTTTTGGTTTTGGTTAATTTTTCAGAATTTCATTTTTTTTTCCCTCTTGACATTGCATTGGGTGGTACAAATTATTTTGTGCTTCATCTTTGTGAACCATTGGTATCAGAATTTCTCTGTGGTCTCTTTCCCTTTATTCAGGTTTTGCTTTTCTTTTCTTTGAGATGCATCCCTGTTTCTCTTATTCTATGCTTCATTTATTGTTCAAGAAGCTAGGATGGGGCTAACAGTGAATGCAGTAAACCATGGTTGGTTATCTCGAGCAATAATGGTATGTAATTTTGACAGTCTGTTAAATATTCATCAGTAGGGTCACTCGGCGAACTGGGTTTTCATTTTTATTATATTTTGTAGTTGCAGCAATCTGTAAGTCATTATATTTTGGTTTCTGAAAGTTTGGGATGTCTTAGTTTCTGAACCTTGATTATGGGGTTTTAATGCCATCCATCATGACGAGCATGGGCATTTTTATATACTAAGTAGGTCATCAAAATGTCTGATTGTAGGAATAGATCATAAAAGTGTCTGTGTTTGTAGGAATTCTGTGATGTAATGATAATGTAAGCGGTATGTTCTCTGTTCTGGTGAGTTCATTTACATCCATTCTTCTTCACTCGACTGTCAAAGAACCTATAGATTAATTTTCACAATATCCTTTTTTTTTCTTTGAAATAGATTTTAGTTGTACATTGCCTTCAATTCTATATCACAATTTTTGTTGTTACTTTATGGACATTGTATTAGGTGGTACAAATTATGTTGCACTTCATCATTGTGAACCATTGGTACTAAATCTCTCTGTTGCTCTCTTTCCACTTATTCAGCTTTTGCTCGTCTCTTTTTCTAAACATGTGCTTGATTCTCTTCTATGCTTTATCTATTGTTCAGAAGTTAGGACAAGGCTAACAGTGAATGTGGTATGCAATTTTCACTTGTTTGGATGGTCTGTTAAATATTCATTAATTGGGTCATTTGGCAAACAGGTTTTTGATTTCTGTAATATTTTGAAGCGGCATAATGTTAGTCATGTTCGAGTCTAAGGATGTTTAGATGTACTCTATATATGAAGTTTTTTCTTTTGCATTATTTCTGAATTTTTTTTTCTTATTCCTATATGCATCTATCTCATGTTAGTTCGTTTGGTTTTGTATCTTGATTATGTTATGAACTATTTCAATATGGTTAAAGAGATCGTACCGGTCCGTATCGGTATACTAACTAGTTGTTGGTATGGTACGTATCGAGTTGTACCAAATGTACCGATACATGGTATATTGATATTGATATACTACCCATACTGGTCCCTTGTTGGACTGGTACGTACCACTCATACCGGTACTCTGTGGTACAACGAACCTTGAGTGTAAGAGTTGTAAATGAGTTCAATATCTCCTACTGACATCCACACAGTTATAGTTGCCTTATTTTTGCTTTGTGTTTTTTGTATGTTCGGTAAATTAATAATTTGTTTGTTTAATGTTTTCTGTTTGGCATTTGTATTGTCACAAAAGCTGCTTCCTCTCGAGTATTTTCAAGAAAAAAGAAACCATGCCCATTGGTGAACATTTTGTAGGCAGCATTCTAGTGCATGTTAAGGAACATCATCATGTTAATTATAAGCTTCTCTGAGAGCAGCTGTAGGAAAAACTTGGATTTTGTTCTTTACTGGCAGGGCTTATGAATGATACTGGTGTTTTGAGTTTGAGACTTAAATAAGCCCTACTTGTATTTATTGTTGCTGTAATTAACTTACTCTAGGAGCTGTTCTGGTTATGCAAGCCACACATTAATATGAGCAAATACATCAGAATTTCTAAATTGGATACTGGTGAACCTACATGGTACATGGATATAGACTCGGGTATTCATGTTATTGTCTATCTTATAGCTTGAGCTAATCAGCTGTAAGTGTTCATTTTTCAGTAATGTGGAAAAGAAGTTTCAGGAGTCCCCACAAAATTAAATGTTTCAGTGGCATCAATGTTATACAAACTCCCTATACAAAATTCTTGTAAAAACTTCAGTGGTGAAGAACCTCATCGGTTGTTTACCCTGATTTATTCAAGGTTGTGGAAGGCATTAACAATCTTTTTGTAGTTGAAAGCTTTTTTTTGGTTCATCAATATGTTGGGATTTGTTTATTGTCTTCTTAGAACTCTGACGTGTATATTCCTTTTATATTAGACATCAAAGAAATTTTTATTTTTTATCTGTTGTTAGTTGTAATTTTTACTAGGATGTTTTTTGATTGTGATGTCAAATGAGTGCTTTTAAGTGATTTAAAGGTAGCACAGTTGTGGTGTTAGAACACTGTTTTAGTGATCATTCAAGTATTTAGACGTTATTTTAAGCACTATGTAGCCTTGTTTGGGTAACTACCTTTTTA